CACACACACACACACACACACACACACACACACACACACACACACACACACACTCACACCTAATACATATGTATAGTTAACATTTTAATGCAGCCATACAATATTTTGTCATTTCACATCTGGCGACCCTGCTGGGACCTTCAGTGCTACAGAAATTTTCTCTTCCCCAGATTTGTGCTGCCAACAAACTGGTCTCTGAGGGCTAAAAACAACTTTTTTGTGCTTTAAGCTTGTTCTGTTAAATATACGACCTTATATAGACAAGCGTGTGTTTTTCCAAATCCTGTCCAGTCTGCTGAAACATCTGAAGACTGATCAGTGGAAAGAGGATCGATGCACCAGAGCACAGTTTTGAGTGTCATTTTGAAGGCTGTAAATCATTGTTTTTTTGTTTTCCAAAACTGATAGATAATTCCAAACTAACTTTTTTTCCACTTTGCCATTATGGGGTGTTGTGTGTTTGAAGTCAAACCAGTTTAACATGATTTAACATGTTAGCTAGTTAACATTAGGAAAGACAAAAGGCCATTCATTAATTAGTTTTATTATTACTGAACTAAACTTTGGCAGCTGGGAGGCACCCTGAAATCGAACTCTTCTCAAAATTAGACCCAAACGTCTCCAAGTCTCTTTTGCCAACAGAAGATGATCCTAATTTAAAACTCTGGCATGAAAGAGGAAGGGCGAACCAAACAAACTTAGTACAAAAAGTAAGTAAATCTGTGTCTGTTTTTTGTTGTAACAATGCTTCTTGGCAATAAATCTCATAGCGTTGGAAAGCCTGTTTATTTGTTTATTTCCCCTTTAGGTGGTGCCACATTTGTAAGGATTATGCATCTGTGGTATGAGCAGTAGAGCTGAGTGTGTGGGGTTTTGCATGAAAAATTTGCCAAATCCTCTCTGCCAAACAGTTTATTTAGCTTTTATTGACTTGTGTTTTGAGCTTCTGGTACCTCCAGGTGCTGCCAGTCAGGTGAACGTATAAGATTTATATTCAAGAAGCCTTGTTGCAACTAATCTACCAAATGTAAATGTTCTTACTTTTAATGTTAAGTTTAGATTTAAAGAAAAGCTGTAGTCAGGTTGAACTTTTGCAGCAGTTCCTCCCTGATGGAAGGTCTATAATCTTTTTCAGAATAATGAATCTTGCTCCTGATTTTCACCAACAGGTCTTAAATATAAAACAAAACATTTTAAGAAGAATAAAATCAAAGCACCTTAAAGAGTTGAAGTATCAATAAGAGATTTTGTTCAATATGTGAATCATTACTTTAAAAGCAGAAAGTTTTGACACCATATTTTTTTCAAAACAACTTTACTATTTCAGATGAATCTAACATCAGTTCAGTGAAGTTTTCCCTCACTGATCTAAAAACAGAAGAGTTCCCTCACCTTAAAACAGCAATAATGAAGCTGTTAAGAATCTTTTTTCACTAAAAACATTTAATTTGCTTTAATGTGTTACTCACAAGTGAAAGTGTTTACTGAAAATGAAGAGCTCGGTTTGTATTTCGAAGCTGGAGGCATTCAGCAGAAGTAAGAGAGCGGACGCAGCGAGCAGAACTAATTTCATCAAATATTAAACCTGGTTAGGAGATTCAGGATTTGAGTTGAGTTTCCCCAAAGCCCGGCTGCTGGAGGAGAACAAAGAGGTGGTGGGGCAGTTCTTACAGGGCGTCGACTTCTTTATTCACCATTTTGACATTTATTTGATGAAAGTATGCATCACACCACGTACAGCATCCTTATTTATACAGAGCGCACAAAATGGATTTTAATTGAAATTTATGTTCTTGAATGAGTTCAAATATAAAACGGACATTCTGCTCTTTCTTTAAACAACCTGTGATGACTGAGGGTTTTTTCTGAGTTTAAGCCTGMACCTTGTAATTGTTTAATTTACAGCTTTAATGCACATCTATAGGTTAGAGATTGAAGTCATTTGAAATTTTAATATAAAATAAAATAAAATTTCCTCTAAATGTTAAACCTTTAACTGTAGAATCAGACAACTTCAATAATTAACAAGTGGACAAAAAGCCCAAGTCTTTGTTTTAATCATCTGTAATTCCACATAATTGAAAATCTTTGATAATAATGTTCCCTTCAGGTTTTTATTATTATAAAAAGGTCTACAATTAATTTAACAATAAATCTAAGGAAAGAAAAAAAGGTAAAGTTTTGTTTAGCTATAAAAGGGAATAAAAGCTGAAGATAAGACAAATAATTAAGAATTAAAAACAGTTCTTTTCCAATCAAATTTAAAATGAACAAAGTATTTAAATGTATAAACAATTTTGTGTAATGATTGTTGAGATCCTGTTTTTATATAAAATGATCCAGAAACTGACACTTAAACTACTGTGAGTTTGGGGAAATTTGGCTTCAAAGTAGACTTTAGTGGATAAATCAAAATAAAACCAGCTGTGTTTT